GTCATGTTTTTTGTCCGATTCAACTTTTGTTCTGCTTAAACATTAATGGCAAATCTAGAACTCTTCGAATCCTACAACTTTGCAATTTTTTTTCTCAATTTCTTCAAATAAATTATTACTTACTTGAGGACAAGGATGCTTTCTGGGTACAGTATCATTCCAGAGAATTTAAGTATTCCAAAATGAAACTTGGAATATTGAGGTTGGAAGATACATTTGATTTCACAAATCCTTTCTCTAAGAAACACTTATGAATTATCTGTTCCATAATTTTTTCTATATACCTCAAATGATTTTATAATAATTTTAGAATTATTTTCAAAAGACAGTACCTAACAATCAGAGAAACTAAATGGAGAAAATCATGATAGCATTTCCCAGGTGTATTCTATGGAACCCCATTTCTGTGAGAATTATAATAAAAGGTTTCAGGGTTATTTAAATTGAAGAAATGATCATTTTGGAGATTCAGATGTCACATTGGTAGACTGTCAGTTGGGTTGAACTGTTCTCATATGAAACATCTTGTTTAAATTTATTCTAATATTATAATTTTTGTGACCATGGAACCTTGGTCTATGAACAATAGTTCAGGAAACCCTACTATACGGTTTATCAAATGGCCTCATAAACAGTTACTTATTCATGCACGCCAAAGCTCAGTGAAAAGTATTTTTCACACTTACTCTTTCTTGTGTCATTCAAAGAGAAGTTTTGATGCAGCGTATTTATTTGTAGGAAATGATGAACAGGTCCATTTCACAGTAGACTTTGTTCTCTGTGCTCTAGGTGATGCAGCTAATTGCCCCAGTTTGGAAAACATGGACTTGGATGAATTGTCTTTGTTTGGACCCCTGCCTGGGCCAGGCCCAGCCCTCGTGGACCGGAATCGATTATCCAGTGAGAGCAGCTGTAAGAGCTGGCTGAGCTCCATGACTATGGACAGTGAAGATGGCTACCAGACGTGTGTGTCTGAGGACTCCAGCAGGGGTGCCTTCAGTCGGCAGACGAGCACAGATGATGAGTGCTTTATCCCCAAGGAGGGGGATGATTTTCTGAGGAGGTCGTCTTCAAGGAGGAACCGGAGCATCAGTAACACCAGCAGCGGATCCATGTCTCCCTTGCTGTCTCTTATACACATCTAGATGTGTATAAGAGACAGCCCCAAGACCAAGACAGAAATGTGTAAGATTATTACAACAGTAAATGCATGGCTCTTGCCATTGAGTGCATTTTTAAGGGAAGGGTTGAGTTTAA